CCCCCCCCCCCCCCTCAAACAAGACCTCTTAGCCGCTTGTTCGAGAAGGAAATCATAAATGACTCTCTAGATAGAGCGTGTTGGTTGCAGTAGCTAATAGCAAGAGACGAGTCTCGATTTGACAACTTGACAACGGGGTAAGACCCAATATCGAGAGGAGAATAGACAAGACGTCTACTAACGAGACTAGACTAGACTACCCTGCCTTCTTCTATCCACTCAAACAAGACCTCTTAGCCACCTATTCAAGAAGGAAATCACGAACGACTCTCTAGATAGAGCGTGTTGGTTGCAGTAACTAATAGCAAGAGATAAGTCTCGATTTGAAAACTCGACAACGGGGCAAGACCTGGTACGGATAGGAGAATAGATAAGACGTCCGCTAATGAGACTAGACTAGACTACGTGCCCAAATAAATGCCAAAATGAGCAAGGACAAGTATAGTACAAGGAGAAGGCACTGTCCAGTAGTAAGAAACTGGAGTGTAAGTGGCCACTCAGGACATCCTGAACTTTCAGATCATGAAAGCAGCAGAAACCAGAGAAGAGAAATTTAATAAACAAGGTACAGATTAGGCCATTGATGGTTACCATCAAGCAACAGTAATCTTTGTACAGATATATCAGATGAAGAAGATAGAACATGCATGGAAGTGGAATAATACCAGCACAAAAGCTACTCTAAGTTCTTGCTGTCAGCTAAAAAGAAACCGAAGAACTTCGGTCGACGACTCAAATTTCTCAGTAATTTTCCAGATCATGATGATCTATTATGCAAGAATGAGATGAAGAACAATGAACAGTCAATGGTTCTATAATCTTTGGAGAAATCGAAAATTTTCAACTCAAATTTCTTAGTATTTTACAAGATCATGATGATTTACTATACAAGAATGAGATGAAGAACAATGAACATTCAACCGAAGATTTTCGGTCGACGACTCAAATTTCTCAGGAATTTTCCAGATCATGATGATCTATTATGCAAGAATGAGATGAATAACAATGAACAGTCAACAGTTCTATAATATTCGGAGAAACCGAAAATCTTCGGTCGACTCAAATTTCTTAGTATTTTTCCAGATAACGATGATTTACTATGCAAGAATGAGAGATGAAGAACAATGAACAGTCAACAGTTTTGTAATCTTTGGAGAAATCGAAAATCGTCAGTCGACTCAAGTTTCTTAGTATTTTTCCAGATCACGATGATTACTATGCAAGAATGAGATAAAGAACAATGAACAGTCAACAGTTCTGTAATCTTAGAGAAACTAAAAATCTTCGGTCGATTCAGACGTTCCACAAAACTCAAATTTCTCCATATTTTTCCAGATCATGATGATTTACAATGCAAGAATGAGATGAAGAACAATGAACAGTCAACAGTTCTGTAATCTTAGAGAAACTAAAAATCTTCGGTCGATTCAGACGTTCCACAAAACTCAAATTTCTCCATATTTTTCCAGATCATGATGATTTACAATGCAAGAATGAGATGAAGAACAATGAACAGTCAACAGTTCTGTAATCTTTGGAGTAACCGAAAATCTTCAGTCGATTCAGACTTTTCCACAAACTCAAAATTTTCAGTATTTTTCCAGATCATGATGATTACTATGCAAGAATGAGATGAAGAACAATGAACAATGAACAATTATGTAATCTTTGGAGAAACCGAAAATCTTCGGTCGACTCAAATTTCTCAGCATTTTTCCAGATCATGATGATTTACTATGCAAGAATGAGATGAAGAACAATGAACAATCAACAGTTCTATAATCTTTGGAGAAACCGAAAATCTTCGGCCGATTCAGACTTTCCCCAAAACTCAAGTTTCTCCGTATTTATCCAGATCATGACGATTACTATGCAAGAATAAGATGAAGAACAATCAACAGTCAACAGTTCTATAATCTTTGGAGAAACGAAAATCCTCAGTCGATTCAAACATTCCCCACAACTCAAATTTCTCAGTATTTTTCCAAATCACGATGATTTACTATGCAAGAACGAGATGAAGAATGATGAACAGTCAACAGTTCTATAATCTTTGGAGAAACCAAAATTCATCCGTCGATTCAAACATTCCCAAAACTCAAATTTCTCAGTATTTTTCCAAATCACGATGATTTACTAAGCAAGAACAAGATGAAGAACAATGAACAGTCAACAGTTCGATAATTTTTGGAGAAACCTAACATCTTCGGTCAATTCAAACATTCCCCAAAACTGAAATTTCTCAGTATTTTTCCAAATCACGATGATTTACTATGCAAGAACAAGATGAAGAACAACAAACAGTCAACAGTTCGGTAATCTTTGCTATGTCCAATCCAAAAGGAAAAAAGCATCATGATTCATTAGTGGGTTCTGGACCTTTCTTTTTCTTGTTTCCTTTACTTTTCTTTTGTTAAAACGGAGCTTCACTAAAAGATTCTCCACACCATTTCAGGAAAAAGCATTCAAACTTAAATCAACTGATTGCTTTACATGATGAACAGGAAATGTATGTACAATGTCAGAATTGATATTGAATCTAGTCTAGCTTTTGAAATATGGGTTGTTTCATTACCCACAAAATAATATGAATGATATAACAGAGGATGGTATGAACTTCACCTTCCAATTTACATATTAATTTGTGTCCTATGTATCAGAATCCAGCAGCTCCAGCTAATGTAAGACACCGCTTTAGCATCAAGGTATCTGCCACCATTGAATGTATTGTCAGGCATCATTAAACAATAATCGATATCTCATGTTACTACCAAATGTTACTTTTAGTGTCTTGAAAAGATTATATCATTGAAAAGATTAGGTCGCTAAAAGCATATCTATACGTGAGTGTTTGGGCTGCTGAACTAATCTTATCGAACGACCGTCTGGTTGCCAAGATGTCTCGTCTTGCCTCTTTAGGGGTTGTTAGTGAGCTTCTTGTTCCTACAAGGTGGTATACTATCTATGAATCCATGGAATTCTTTCTTTTGGTGATCATCTTTCGGCTGGAGGAGGGAACGAAGCATTCCTTATAAGGGTGTGAAAATCTCTCCCTAGTAGATACGTTTTAAAACTGTAAGGCTGACGGAGATACGTAACGGATGAAAGCGGATAATATCTGTTAGTGGTGGAGTTGGGCTGTTACAAATGGTATCAGAGCCAGACACCAGGTGGTGCGTCAGCGAGAACGTTGGGCCCCCAAAGGGGGTGGATTGTGAGATCCCACATCGGCTGGAGAGAGGAACGAAGCATTCCTTATAAGGGTGTGGAAATCTCTTTCTAGTAGACGTGTTTTAGAACCGTGAGGCTGACAGCGATATGTAACGGATGAAAGTGGACAATATCTGTTAGTGGTGGAGTTGGACTGTTGCAAATGGTATCAGAGCCAGACACCAGGTGGTGCGTCGCGAGAACGTTGGGCCTCCAAAGGGAGTGGATTGTGAGATCTCACATCGGCTAGAGAGAGAAACAAAGCATTCCTTATAAGGGTGTGAAAATCTCTCCCTGGTAGACACGTTTTAGAACTGTGAGGCTGACGGCGATATGTAATCGATGAAAGTGAATAATATCTGTTAGTGGTGGGGTTAGGCTGTTACAAATGGTATCAGAGTCAGACATTAGGCAGTGTGTCAGCGAGAACGTTAGGCCCCCAAAGGAGGTGGACTGTGAGATCCCACATCAGCGGGAGAGAGGAACGAAACATTCCTTATAAGGGTATGGAAACCTCTCCCTACTAGACGCTAGTCCCTGACCTTGTTTTTAATACTAACTATTTACATAACAAGTGAGTTGAAGTTTCAATGAGTTTTAGCCGAGTATTTCGTACTTACCTCAAACGGAGAGCCGAAAGAGAAAAGTTTTCTTTGTTCATCAGTAGGATTCAACAACCACTGGCAGAACATCACAGCTGCACCAACAACAGATAGAAGTGACAACATTGCTAGAAATCCAAAATGCGAAGTATCGTTGGCGATTATTGCAACTCCCAACATTATCGACTCCGCTAAACTAGCAACAGAAACCTCTGTTGATGCAATGAGATTCGTTTTCGATGTCGGAATCCCAGTTTGAAGAATCTGTTGCCCCACGACATTATATGACATGTGTCCCAACCTAGATAGAACCTACATAAAAGATGAAATGAGTATCTGATGCATCACATTTTGAGCTAATAGCTGCAGGAACTGATTCTTACGATCATAGATAAGAAGAAAAGAAGAGGGCTCTGCCGGGAAAGCGAGCCACTACAGTACACAGCAACAGCAACTGTTAGAAGGGCAGCTTGAAATATTAATCCAATTGCTCCAGCCTGACAAATGAAGCTATGAAGTGCATGAGAGTCTGTCGAAAATATAGAACTGCACGGAATTACGAACACGAAAATAGAAGAAAACGTGTATAACCTTCAAAATTCCGAATTGCCTGACCAAATTTGCTGATACGAAGGTTGCAGTAACACCCATGAAAGCACATAGTCCACTAAAACCACCAATAATTGATGGACTAAGACCTGTAAGTCATACCAATCAAAAGCCAGAGAACAACTAATCAGAAAGCAGGTCGTGTGAAGTTATGATTCGCCAAGGGACGAAGGGATGAAATTATATGATGTGTAGCAATTCGCTATGTGATCTAGCTAAGGTTTTATACGGATAACAAAACTAAACGCTCACTAGACTGGAAGATTATTCCACTTCAACCAAGCTCCCTTTTTTGTCGCCTACATCCGCTAAAAAGCAATAGAGAGAACCGCTCTTTGCTTCACTCAAGATGCTGTTTTATTCTATGGATTATAGAAGTTAACATTTGTGATGTCCCACATTGGTTGGGGAGGAGAACAAACCACCATTTATAAGGGTGTGGAAACCTTCTCCTAGCAGACACGTTTTAAAGCCTTGAGGGGAAGCCCGAAAGGGAAAGCCCAAAAAAGACAATATCTGCTAGCGGTGGATCTGGGTCGTTACAAATGGTATCAGAGCCAGACACCGGACGATGTGCCAGCCTTTCGCTATTCCCCAAAGGGGGGTAAACACGAGGCGGTGTGCCAGTAAGGACACTAGGCCCCAGAGGGGGGTGGATTTGGGGGCGGTCCCACATCGATTGGAGGAAGGAAAGAGTGCCAGCGAGGACGCTGGGCCCCAAAGTGGGGTGGATTGTGATGTCCCACATTGGTTGGGAAGGAGAACAAACCACCATTTATATGGGTGTGGAAACCTTCCCCTAGCAGACGCATTTTAAAGCCTTGAGGGGAAGCCCGAAAGGGAAAGCCTAAATAGGACAATATCTGCTAGCAGTGGATCTGGGTCGTTACAACATTTTTCAGGAAACCATGAAGCGCCCGGGAAAAGGGAAATGAGGCGTTAAGAAAACGGAAACAAAGCGCCCCTTTCCCTATTGGTTGAGTGGTCCAACAAAAGGTGGGTGCGCGCTGAAGCTACATCTGCTTGGCAGAACGAACTTAAAAATATGATGATCGTATCGAGCTTGCAGCAATGAATATACCTTGCTGAGTTAAGAACGCCGTCATCAAACTTCCCGGTGCGAGGACTGCATTGAAGTAGAGGAGAACATAGGCAAGGCTTGCAGGAAGAGCTGGTTGCTGCAAGTATTCCTTCCATCCATTTTTAATAACTTCTACACCCACATCCACTGAAAGCACAAAAAAGAATGTTAGAAAAAGAAATGTATCAGAACGGCCTATTGATTGAATAGCATAATGGTTCATGAAAATTTACTTATACTCTCAGCATCAGGCGAGTTTACTTTAGAGGGATTGCTACAACAAGTTTGTGAGCATTTTGCACGATCGAGAACACCGGTGGAGAGTTGGTTCGTTAACCATGTAAGTACAACCTGAAAAACGTGTTCGATTAACAATTTACCTCTCGAGAAAGATCTCATTAGCACGGAAATAAGTAATTACCACAACTGGCAAGGACCATAACATTAAACCTGCAGCGAACTTCAAGCAAGTTACTGGGTCGTACTTGGAGAGGAAAATGCCAAATAAAGATGCTCCAACTATCTGCACATTAAGAATGTCTTAGTCAATTGTTTGCAACTTTTTTGTATAGATACTTGATCATAACTTTAGGGAAACCCTGTGTAACGGCTCAAGCCCACCGCTAGTAGATATTTTCCTCTTTGGGCTTTCCCTTTTGGACTTCCCCTCAAGGTTTTTAAAACGCGTCATAAAAACCTTGAGGGAAAGCCCAAAGAGGACAATATCTACTAGTGGTGGGTTTGGATTGGTACAAATGGTATCAGCCAGACATTGGACGGTTTGCCAATGAGGCCGTGAGCCCTGAAGGGGATGGACACAAGACGGTGTGCCAGTGAGGAGGCTAAGCCTCGAAAGGGGGTAGACACGAGGCGGTGTGTCAACAAGGACGCTGGGCCTCGAAGGGGGTGGATTGGGAGGTCCCACATCAATTGGAGAAAGGGAACGAGTGTCGGCGAAGACGCTAGGTCTCAAAAGAGGGTGGATTGTGAGATGCCACATCGGTTGGAGAAGGAAATGAAGCATTCTTTATAAGGGTGTGGAAACCTTTCCCTAGAAGACACGTTTTAAAAACCTCGAGGGAAAGCCCAAAGAGGACAATATCTACTAGCGATAGGCTTGAGCTGTTACACCCTGTTTAACGAGATAGATATAATGTGACAATATCTACTAGCGGTGGGCAAGCATGTTAAAACAAACACAAAATCAAGATCACATGAAGCTGGAAAAAAGTTGAGTTCAGAACACCCATTTACCTCACAGAGAAGGTCAATTCTACTAAGAACAGCATTAGCTTCTGCAAGTGCAATAGGCCTATTAATTCCAGCTAACTGTACATGGACAAAGAACGCTAGTTTTAGCGACATTTCTTGAATAACAAGGATACAAATAATTTAAAACGAAACATACCAACACGACCCAGTCACGCTCCATAGCAACCCCCAATGCTATACCAGATAACCTCTCTATGGCACCGGCAAAAATCAGTGTAACAAACCAAGGCTGGAGAAGTATGGACGACGATGCAGCCGAACGTGGAATGGTATGGGCATATATCACCATTGAGGCAGATAGCAACTGAGCAGCAGCCTGAAGGAAACAGAGAAACCTTAGATTGTAAAAAGAAAAAAAGCCAGGTCATATTCAATATGAGTTCTATAATGGGTCTGGCTAGTTGAGTGGTAACGGCGCAAGCCCACTGCTAGCAGATATTGTCCTCTTAAGGCTTTCCCTTTTGGACTCCCCCTCAAGGTTTTTAAAACGTGTCTGCTAGGGAAAGGTTTCCACACCCTTATAAAGAATGCTTTGTGTTGAGGATTATTGGGAGTTGAGTCCCACGTTGGTTAATTTAGTGGAAGATCGTGGGTTTATAAATGAGAAATACTATCTCCATTGGTATGAGACCTTTTGGGGAAGCCCAAAGCAAAGCCATGAGAGCTTATGCTCAAAGTGGACAATATCCATACCATTGTGGAGAGTCGTAATTTCTAACACTTTGTTCTCTTCCCCAACCGACGTGAGATCTCACAATCCACCTCTCTTCGAGGCTCAGCCTCTTCGCTGGCACTTCGTCCATTGTCTAGCTCTGATACCATTTGTAACACCCAAGCCTACCACTAGCAGATATTGTCTCTTTGGGCTTCCCCGCAGGGTTTTTAAAATGCGTCTGTTAGGGAGAGGTTTCCGCACCCTAATAAAGAATGTTTCGTTCTCCTCTCCAACCAATATGGGATCTCACGTAAGTTCCATGCATGCTCTAATATCGAACTTCTGATATTAACGACATTCGAATGGATAAAGATACCTGGACACAATTCAGACAAGCATGTGCAGGTACTCTCGGGAAATTATCCATAAACTTTCCGACCAACGGACCTCCAACTATTAACGCGAGCTGCAAACACTTTCAACATATTAGAAAGCATCTCTCTTGCAACATGATTCAAAATGATTTATCTGGACGAATAGCTATTTACCTTAGTAAAGAATCCCATAACAGCTACTGGCAGAAGACTAGAATGAAGCAGAGCAATCGAAGTAGGCCAAGCGAAATTCCAAAGCTGTTCGACCAAATTCCCCGCAATACATGAGGCATATAGAGCTATAAGGTCGAAGTATCATTTCGAGTCAGGAACGACTACCGAGATCAAAAGAAGTCATATAGTTCATATCTAAATTTATAGCTGAACCATCACTCTTGCAAGCATTTAGGTATCTCTAGCACCATATGATATCAAACATGATTTCAGAGCTTGAAATCATGGCTAATAATAGAACTCTTGTTCATAAATCACTGATAGTTAAACAATTTAGATATCAAACTCAGAGCTTCAAAATCAACATCGATAAAACGGGGGGG